TGCTGCAGAAATTAACCATACTGTCTTTCTTTTAAATTATTAAGAATCTTCTTGAGCTGAGAGGTAAATCTTATATGCCTATTACTAATAGCAGAATTATTAAGTCTATAGGATCCTTGGTGCTCTCTGAGCTTGGTTGTTTTGTTGCAGACATTTCATTACCAACTAGGTAATCTCATCAGTGCTAGAACCACTAAGACTACCCTCACCAACAGTGACAGGGCAAACCACTAGTATATAAAATGAGAGCATACCTAACTCAGTTCTCGCACTAGCAATTCTTCCTAGTTTGATAGTGAAATGTCTGCAAGAAAACAACCAAACTCAGAGAGCACCAAGGATCCTACAGTTTAACCCTGAGTTACAGATATTGCCTTCCAATTATTAAATCTAATTTGAGCCAGTTTAGTGCAGTGGTTAAGATGCTAGTCTAGTAACCAGGAGACTATGAGTTTTGGTTCCATCTTAGGCATGAAAGCCAGCTGGATATCTTTGGGCCAGTCACTTCTCTTTCAGCCCAACTTAGCTCACAAGGTTGTTGTTGTAGGAAAAATAGGAGGAGGATGGAGTATTAGGTATGTTTGCTGCCTTGTGATACTTATGAAGTAATAAAGGCAGGATAAAAATTTTAAAAAACCAAATAAAATAAAGTCAGGATAATTAGGAAAAGGGAATGGAAAATAATGCCACGTGTCAAAGAATAGAAAAGCTGAATCATGAGAAGGGCCTGATTCAGTGGGAAAATTGTGAGCCTTTTGTTAGACTTATGATAAGTGAAACCACCTGCAGTTTGGATGTTATTCCTTGCACAATTGGATACACAATTGCCTACTTTTTTCAGTCTGATATTCTGTTGAATTAATGGAAAGAGGATCGTCTGAGTTTTATATGTGCTAAGTAATTTTTACCATGTAAGTAACTGAAAGTGTATTTTATCCATATTGATTTGAGAAAATTAAGTAAGGTGACAAGACCATGAAATGCCTGACTCAAGCTGGAGAAAATAACAAATAAAAGCATTTATTACTAATAATGTGCATTTATTTGTGTTTATGTCCGCTTTCTGTTTGAGAATATAATAAACTGAATGAATGATTTCACATACAATTGAGAGTGAAATTAGGAAATAATATGGAAAGAAACAGCCAAGCCACTTAAGGTCTAGTTCTCATGAGATTTTCAACCTGTTTCTTGACTGAATGTTCATGTGGTGCAAAACACAGCAACATCTTTTACGTAGACAATCATTCCAATGTAGAGTAAAAGCAATGACCTATAGTAACCAAAGTAGAGCAGTTCAGATCTGTCCTACACAAGCATATTCTTATTGTAAACTTGTGTACAAGACCACAGTGATTATTCATTGACCTAGAGTAACCCCATCTCTGACTGTTGATGATCATACCAATAGTGAGGAGTACAATAAATTCAGTACTGGAAAGAATTAAATTTTGAAGTATAAACTACAGTGGTACTATGAATAAGCCATAATTGCTTTGTTGTTTTCTCTTTAATTCATATACCGTATATGCCAGCGTACAAGGCGACCCGGCGTATAAGATGACTCCCGTCTTTATCGCCGAGCTGCATTCCTAGAATGTCATCTTATACGCCGGAAACTACCAGTATTTCCGGCATATAAGACGACTCGGTGTATAAGACGACCCCCGTCTTTGGCGCCAATTTTAGCGCTCGCGGAAGTCACCTTATACGCCGGCATATACGGTATATGGGTTATAGGTGTGTACACAGCTTGTCTAGAATCCTTCAACACTTGCAGAATCCATTGGCAAGGGATCTAATTTGTGAATAATATAGATAAGTAGTTTAGTCCTGCTAAATTTCTTCATTTTCATTTACCACTGTGATAGCATGTCTGTTCTTAGAGCCTGCCAATTCTAGATATTTTCCTTTTTTAAGTTTTATTTATTTTAATACGATTCTTTTTTTCTTTTTTTCCTTTTGTCTTATTTATGAGATATTTTAAAATATCAAACCTCAGTTCATAATGCCTTTCTACTATCAGCCATATAGCATTGATAGGGCTATTGCAATCTGAATGATTTTTCCAGAGTTTTTTCAAAATCCAAATAGCTCAGTTTATATCAAAGAAAACTACAGTGGTCTGATGCTTTAAAAAAATGAGGGTTTTTTTACAGTTTTACATATTGATACTCAGTCCATTTGATTTACTGTCACAGTTCAGATGTTGAATAGCAATAGCATTTAGATTTATAGATTGCTTCATTGTGCAACTAGGTGGTTTACAATGTCAGCCTATTGCCCCCCCCCCAACACTCTGGCTCCTCATTTTACTCAGAAGGATGGAAGGCTGAGTCAAGCTTGAGCCAGTCAGGATTGAACTGGTGGTGGGCAGAGTTTGCCTGAAATTTTGCATGCTAACCACTGTGCCACTCAGCTGAGTCATATCTCATCTGATGCACAAATGGGTGTTACATGCCTCAGCAGTGGCTATCACAAGTCCTGCTGTGAGAAAAGATGACCTTGTTTTTGATATATGTGATTTCATGCATTCTTTGCCCTCCTACCTTATTTGCTTGACATTCCCCTTCTCCTATATCATCTAAGTTGGTCTTGAAAACTGAACAAGTTCAATCAGAGTTGTACTTAATTAAGTGTGCTATACACAGAGGGGATCATCTACCATTTTTATAGATGCAGAACATTCTAAATGAGCTCTCTGTAGAAGCATAAATTCATATGTGCAAATTAATAGATAACAATTCAAATAATTTCAGTTATAGGAATATAAATTGTTCATTCCGTGACCAGAACTAATTGTATTTTTCAGAAAAAATAAATTAACCTAAAATAGGCCCGATAAGAAGGGGTGGGGGTTAAAGTTTTAAAGAAGTTGGTCCTTTGCCTGGATTTTTTTACCTTTAGCTAAAATTATTATTGTTGTAGCCAATGCTAACATTTTGTTTTTCACCTTTTTTGATAGCAACTTTATATTGTCCTTTAAGGATTCTGGAGAAATTTTGGTAAAGGTTGTTTTGTCTTCAAATAAGAAAAAAATGTCCCAAGTAATAAAGATATAAGCGAGTTGTCAGATTTCCAGTTTAGTAACTTAAACATGGATTTATCTGCATCTTTTACTTTTGAATTCTAGTACTTCTGCTTGAAAGTAGGACATTCTTCTCCCACCACCATTATTAGGTCAAACATAGATTAAGCAGATCTTGACACAGTATACAGAATAAAATTACATCTGATTTCTTCTCATGTCAGACATGGAAAATCAAAATATGGAATCTAAACCTAGTGACATAAGGCAACCTAAATCACATTTAAAATAACACTCTTCTATTTTTATTTGTGGTTATTGAAAGTAGTGTTCCTAAATCAAATGATGAGAAATATGAAAACACATATGCTTTTCTTTAAGCTTTCTTTTCCCTCAAGGCTCTGTGGTAGGTAATAAAACACGAATTTTCCCCTAAATTGAAAAGGAAGAATACAATGTAACTTTTGTAGTAAGAAGTCAACTGTAGCTAGTAAGTACTTTTTTTTTTTTCAACTGGGCTCATTGTGTAGGCTCTGCTGTACTGATCTGTACTTTTGTCATTCTTATGGGCTGAATTTAATGATAATCTGGAAGTTTCAGTGAACCCCATATAGGTTAATTTATAATTACTATAATTCATGAAATTATTTAACCCGTTTTATGTCAGTATTGTCTGCCAGTTTGCTTCATTAGCTCAAGGTGCAAGTGTTCAACTTCTTTATGACTTGAAAAATACACATTTTACAAATCATCTGATTTGGTTTGTATTAGATCCCATAATAATTTTCTTGGCTTAGACTCTATTTTGTCTTTCAACAGGATAAGATGATCTCATATTTTAGAGCAGTCTTAAAGGAAGAACATGTATTAAAGTTGAAAGTAATATTATACATTTGAAAAATTGGCAGGTCTCTTTTCTTACTTTCTTTGGCTATTTCTCCAATACCTTACATATGGATAAAACATATTCTTTATCTGCTTTTAGAAAATATTGCAAAACATACCTATTTCAACTTATTTAAAAATTTAAGTTTCTAACTGTGAGAGGGACCTCGGAGTCCTAGTAGACAATCACTTAAATATGAGCCAGCAGTGTGCGGCAGCTGCCAAAAAGGCCAACACAGTGCTAGGCTGCATTAACAGAGGGATAGAATCAAGATCACGTGAAGTACTAATACCACTCTTCAATGCCTTGGTAAGGCCACACTTGGAATACTGCATCCAGTTTTGGTCACCACGATGTAAAAAAGATGTTGAGACTCTAGAAAGAGTACAGAGAAGAGCAACAAAGATGATTAGGGGACTGGAGGCTAAAACATATAAGGACCGGTTGCGAGAATTGGGTATGTCTAGTTTACCGAAGAGAAGGACAAGGGGGGACATGATAGCAGTATTCCAATATCTCAGGGGCTGCCATAAAGAAGAGGGAATTAAGCTATTTTCCAAAGCACCTGAAGGCAGGACAAGAAGCAAAGGGTGGAAACTAATCAAGGAGAGAAGCAACCTAGAACTAAGGAGAAACTTTCTGACAGTGAGAACAATTAATCAGTGGAACAGCTTGCCTCCAGAAGCAGTAAATGCTCCAACACTGGAAGTTTTTAAGAAGAGACTGGGCAGCCATTTGGTGTAGGGTTTCCTGCCCGAGCAGGGGGTTGGACTAGATGACCTCCAAGGTCCCTTCCAACTTTACTACTATTACTATTACTAAAATTTATGAGCATTATTGAGCAAAGACTGAAGTAGTAAATGCTACTGGTTTATTTATTGATTTTCCTCTGTTACTTGTTTTTGACTTGTTTTGAAACTGCTTGGATTTGTGAAGAGAGGGTCTACAAATCCAAACTCTCTGTGTGTCTGATTTAGTGGACCATCTAATAAACACATATATCTTACATTTAGCATTTTTGTTTCATGTGTGCTTCATGTTTAAGAAACTTTTCTCAGCTGATTCAGCATCTGTTGTCTGTTGCAGCTGGCAATGTTAGAATTTCCTCCAAAAAGGCTATTTGGAAACAAGGATGAACGTGTTATTGCAGAGCGGCGGAATCACTTACAGGTAATAGAATTTTTAAAAAGAACTAACTTTTTTTGTAGCTTATATTTACACAATTATACTTGTGATCAATACAAATCATTTCATGTGGTTAAAAATTAGATACCCCGTGCTTCATTTAACATGGAGTATGAAAGCTATATGAGATATGTGCACACAACATAAATCTACGAAAAATATCAGAGTCTTGAGCTTATATTGCAATATTTCTTAGAATTCAATACAAACCATTTCTTTACAGACCTAAAAGATATATATGCAAGGTGATACAGCAGAAAACTATTTAAATTTGTTGGTCTGAATTTTCTTATCATTCTCTCCATTCCTGATATTCAGTAGTGTCCTGTTATGTTGCAAAATATTCCATTCAATAGGAAGGAAATATTAGCAGTGTTGGGAAAATCTGAAAGCTTGCAAATATGCAAAATATCATTAGAGAAAATCCTAGAGTGGCAAGAGGAAAAAAAAAAAAGCACTCCAGTGGACAGCTGGAGATAGATGGATGGATGATTCTGGGTGGTTTACAAACAATTTAAAAAATATAAAAAACCCAAAAACCAATGCAATAATTTAAAACCAAGGAAGAATATAAAAGCATATTAAACAATCATAAAAGTATGTAAAACTCATAACCAAGATAATTCCATTCTTCAAAATATTCAGTTCAACAGGCACTGACTCCACTACATTCTCAGGTCCACCCACAAACTCAGCTGAAAATTATTTTAGTTGTCTTGATGTGATGATTATTAATACAATGGGCAGGGCTCTGCTTGCAGGAGAAAAACTGCCTTTGTTGGGGCTTACATTTCTATATTTTTCCATTATAAATATATTTTCTCCAGTTAGCTATTTTTTTTGTTTAATTTTATTTGTGGTACAATATTTGTGCATTTCCTTTTTCAGCAAAGTGAGTTCAAAACTGATACTAGTATTACTATCTATATAGGTTAACGCGTACACTAACAATTCATTAAATTTGGGAGTACTGTTCTCTTAAATTATATCTTGCCTTTCTGCCCACCTATTTAATTTGTCAAGAATTGTAAGAGAACATAGATTTTTTTTTGTTATAGAGTCTTTTTCAGCAAATAGCTACAATGGTGAAACCATATTTATAATAAAAGGCTAAGACAGTGATGGCGAACCTTTTAGAGACCGAGTGCCCAACTGCAACTCAAAACCCACTTATGCATCATTGAGTGCTGGGTGGGTGTGGCCCATTGGGTGGGCATGGCTGCAGTGGTAACAGCAGACTGGGTGGGACTAAAAAGTTCAATCAATCAATTCCAACTTTGCAAGATTTTTTTTTCCCGCGAGAAGTTGAAATTGACTGATTGATTGAACTTTTTTTTTTTTTTTTTGTACATGGCAGCGGAGGCCTAAAGCAAAAAGGTTTTATAAAACCCAGCTGAAGGCCTAGGACTGGGGCGACGACATGCATGCCCACAGAGAGGTCTCTGAGTGCCGTCTCTGGCACCCGTGCCATAGGTTCGCCACCACTGGGCTAAGAACTTGATCAAAAAATTATATTGGGAATGAAAAAGCATGAAATGAAAAGGTAATGGTGAGGCAGATGCTTTTTTAGCTGTCACAGTATGCTCATCCACCATAGTTATACAAAATGAGTAGTTAGTGATTTCTGATTTGATGCTTTTCCTTCTAAGCAAAAAACCTAAACAGTGAAAATTTAATCCCAAGAGTTGCTTCACTTTAATTTGCTGTGTCATTTACTTTCAACAACTTTTTTTTTTCAAAAAAAAAAAAAAGGATTACGCTAATAAGCAATAAGAAGAAAGTATCTGTCAGGGACAAACATCAAAAGAACCTGTCCTCTGGTCAAGATTACATCAAACATTTTATGGTTTCAGAATCTGAATGGAATGCCGTACAGCCAGGTGATTTTTTTTTTTATTTAAAGAACCTTCTGAAGTATTCAACCCTTAAAACTGGATTTTTACCATTATTTCTCCTACCTGCTGTTGCTACTTTCCATCATTTTTTTTTCTTCATGGAGGTTTCGTTGCTTTCTTAGCTTCAAACAACCCTGTTTGATGGCTGAATTCTCATACTCTGCCTCCATTCCAGCATTCCTACCCCATTTGTAGCAGGAAAGCAGCAGGCTGTCTTCACCCCACCCCTATTGTTCACATGTTAATTAAATCATCGGTTGGTGAAGAATTCTGGGTGCATAATGGCACAGGGAATGATTCACATTGTGTGAGTTGATATGTCTCCAATGCCTACTTTTAACTCAAAAGGGAGAGCAAGCTGTCTTTGGGTGGGCAATGCTAAATAAAATCAAGAATTCAGCATTCTGAGATTGTATGTCTGCCAGTTAACGCAGTCCTGATCGTTTCCATTCTGTGGGAAGAGCTGAATCTGAGATGTAGGAGGATGTAATAAAATCAGTGAGATGAGTAATGACAATTCTTCTTCAATCACTTTTAAAGCTGTGATTAAAAAGTGTTGAGAGAAATGAGCTTAACTGTGTTGGAAAGATTTCTAATAAACACTTGCAGTTTTGCCTTACTGGGGGGATATACTCCATGTACAGTACTATCATTTATCACAGATCTTGTTTTTCTAGCAGAAACTAGAAAAGAACAATGCTGTGTTTTCACAAAATTGTATTTTCATGCATTCAACTACTACTGTTCTAATAGTAACCATCAAAAACACTACTATAATGTAGCTAGAACCTTATAAAATGTAAAGTGAAATGCTGTTTCTGTTGCTATATATAATTTAATTGTTTATGCTTTGGTAAAAAGCTTGTTATTTTAAAAATGGAACAATATTCCATTCTCGGAATTGGAATTACATGCTATTTTTCTATACAGCAATTTAATAAATTATTTTTTGTTTTATTGTGTGAGCAGTCTAGCAAAACTGTGGTGAGAATTGTTGGATTCTGCCCAACTGATTGCCACCAGAAGATACTGAGTTTGCCTTGTGCTTAAGATTGAGTGATTTGGTTTAATTCATCAGAAAGTCACCGCCACTCATTTTTTCCCCCTAATATGCTAACTCCCCATCTTATTTTGTTGGTATAGTCCCCATTAGCATTTTATTTTTGTTAGTCTTTATTGTAAATTAAGTCCAGTTTTAAGGTAAAGATGCCATTGCTATGGCAATGGGTCTGAGTACCATTGACTTAGATTTTGTATCCAATGCATTCTTTCCCTTTTAACTTTGCTCTTGAACTCCACTAGTATAAATGCTAAGTAGAGAGTTCACAAGACTAACCTGCACAATAACATAGTCCCTATGTTCTGTGGGTATATTTTGAAAGTTTGATTTCTGTCACGTTTGTTGTTTAGGGTTTGGAGAAAATGCATTTACAAGATTATATGGCACTGTTATATGTGGAAATTTTGACATGCCAATTAGTACTGTTCCATTCATTACTTTTCGAAATGTAGATAACTTCTGTTCATTATTATTGGTCTTTACTTTTAAAACCAAGCTTTGCCAAAGATTTCTTTAAGCAGAATCTCCAGCTCAAACTCCAGCCCAAATGTCCTTCCCTGTGTTACATCCTGAAGCCAAGTTAATAATCTGAATTTTAGATGTAACAGTCTAGTATATATCTTGATTGTATGTGTAAATTCGTTATGTTATAAGCAGGCTCTCATGTCAATGTAACTAATAGGCCAGGAAAAGATTTCTATGTTGAGTCAACAAGCAGCTGCTGAAATATTAGCTCTTCTTGTCACCTGGAGGAATAACTTAAAAGGGCAATAGCACAGGAAGCTTGCTGTAAAATTTTATCACTGAACTGTAATCAAGTATTTTTGAGGTATGAAAAATATCTACCATTTAGCATTGACAGGGGCTAGATATTTACATTCAACTGCTGTAGGGAAAAATAAGGAAGAATATTACATTTGCCATCTTGACTTCTGTGTGTATGTGTGTGTGTGTCTGTGCATGCACATCCCCCAATGAGGTTCAACTATACTGGACAAGTCTCATTAGAGAATCAGATGAAGAATGTCTCTCCCATAAACAATATGGTGAGATGTAATTTACAAAAACCCATCCCACATCACTCATCAGCTAGATCAACCAAGGACTGGGCTAGGTGTTAGAGTTCCTAGATGTCTGGTGACAAATGAGCTAAACAACTCAAGACTGTTGACTGAGCAGCCAAGGCCAGGAAGCTGCAGGACTACTGGAAGAAAAGTTGTTTACACATCACAAATATATAAAGTTTGAAATCAAAGAAATAATGATCTGTTATTACAGATCAAATCCAACAAGAAAAGAATATCTGAAAAGAATGTACCAGTTCAGGAAAGAACAAATTCGAGCATTGGAAATAACAGAATAGAGGCTACAGATCAACACTACTGAAGAGGGGGGGGGGTATAAAAGCTCATGGTTTGTTTGTTTTTTAGCAGAAGCTCATAGATCCATAACTTAGCCTCCCAACTTAAAGCGACAACACCTAGACATAGGATTACCAGCTCTGACAAGACTAAGCCAGCTGTTAATTTAGTGGTTTATGATAACTTCTTCCACAGTAAACCTCTAAATTATTTATTCAGCAGTTTAGTATGCAATTTTAACTTTACAGCGGGCCTTCCTTGATTAAATCTGTCTTGACTGACACAGCCAAGAATTTTGTTGATTAAAGTAATGAATAGAAGTTAATGTTTACCCATTCATGGCATTTGATAACTATAAATAGGGAAATGCCATCATTATTTGCCTGTTTTTAAAACCCTGTGGGAATTTAAAGAAAAAAGAAAAAGATGCCAACATTTAATTTTAAAATTACTTCTTTTGGAAAGGCAAGAAATTACTTGCTAAGTATGGAAATGTTTTATGTATTAATATGAAATGCACTGACACCTGAATAAATTTTTCTTTGATAAATCAGCAGTAATAACTTAACCATCACTTAGCAGCCTCTTTTTAACATGGCAAATGCAAATATTTGGAGAAGAGCTACCCGGAAGGGTTCAGTCACTGCTTTTACACAAGTTACATGAAAT